TCACTCACTCACTCACTCACTCACTCACTCACTCACTCACTCACTCACTCACTCACTCACTCACTCACTCACTCACTCACTCACTCACTCACTCTTCTTCTTCGTTTCTTCTGTCTCTCTCTCTCTCTCTCTCCCTTTTACTATAGCCACGATCTCTCACTCAGTCGGTCTCATTCTCCGTTCCCCTTTCTATATCTCTCGTCTCTCTTCCTCACTAAATTTTCTCTCCCCCTGTAGCCTACACTCACCCACTCTTCTTCTCGATCACCTTTTCCATCGCCCCTTCTCTCGCTGCTTGTCGCTCTTTATCTCACTCCCTCGCTCGCGCTCGCTCATCAATTCTCTACGTCTCCGCCCCTCTCTCCCTCGTCTTCCTTTTTCCCTGTCTCTTCCTTTCTTTCTCGATCTTTCTCTGCATCGCTCTCTCGTTCTCTCTCTTTCTCGCTCTCGCGTTCCCTCTTTCTCTCTATTTCTCTCTCTCTCTCTCTCTCTCTCTCTCTCTATCTCGCTCTCTCTTTCGCGTTCTCTCTCTCACTCACCCCTTCGCTGCTTCTTTCACGCACGCGCTTCCCTATACTTAACCCCATCTATGAGCCCCACACTACGCAGCCATAACTGCACGCATGCACCCCCCCCCCAACAGGAAGATATGCGCGTAAACACAGCCAGCGGTTTTTTCTCTCCCGCCCGTTACATTTAAAAATAATCGAAAAAAATATCTGATACGATCCCTCCTTGGCATCTTTGCACGGCAGAGCTGTATTTGCTGTACGGCGCGCGTTGTTGTTAGCCGAACACCCGGCTTGCGGCCGATTCAGGAGAGAGCGGCGGGGTGACTGACACGGCTACTGAATTTACGCTGAACCTGGTACAAACCGATCGATATGAACTGAAGAGAGAGAGAGCAAGAGAAAAAAAATTGAAAGCGGCACGCTAACCCGCACGACCCATAAAAAATGTCAATGAACGGTCAACCTCATCCCAGGCTTCCATTCCCGGCGAAGCGTGCACCGTGCCAGCGCCGATGAGCGCGGGCATGGCAAGTTCACGACGGCAACGCCACCGTGCGGCGTGGCACGCCGCCGCACTGACAGTGAGTGTGTGGGGGAACTCGGCTGACTATTACTCCCGCAGCAGCCGATCTTTCACAGTCGCGGACGTTTATTTCAGGAAAAAAATTCTAACTGCGATTGTGTCAGCCGTTAAATTACTGTATTACTGTATCGCCGATACACGCAGTGAGGAAGTAATGGAGGATACGTAAAAAATCGCGTATAGGCCTCATTTTTGAAAGATATATATATGTACGTAACGTTCATTCAGTTTGTATATTGATGACAGGCACAAGTACACACGCTGACGGAGAGTCATGATGCCTCTTCAAAATACGTATATATTATTATTTTAATAAATTAAATTAAATATGATAAATAAGTTTATATTTATTATAATTTTCTAAAGAATTCAGCGACACCGATCAGGAGCGTAGCTAACCCATTTTGCCTGGGGACAAAGCCATGTGAGGGTTGTGTTCTGGGCAGGTGGACCGTGGGCAATTCACTAATGACCATCTAACAGTATCTACATTTCTTTGGTGGCTGTCCATTGCCGTCTCCCCTCAGCTAGATATAGACTTGCCATTTTTTCAATGTCATTGTCATTACTGCGCGCACAACGTTGCATGTCATTATTGGTTTTCACTCATTACGCCTACTGCATGCATGGTACTAGAGCAACGCACGTCATTTTAGATGGAAAATATAACAGCTTATACCGACTGATGTTCTCTGATTGCAATATTTAGCGTATAGTGCGTATATTTATTTTATTCATGTTTATAGCTACTGTTGTATCCTCTCATATATGTTGCCATCATGGTGCGGTCACGGGTGGGGGAGCTTGCGAGCCTAGTTTAGCAGGAAGAATGAAGCTATATATATAGGTTCCTAGAGTAAGTTCAACACATTTAGCTCATGCGAAATGGTAGATGACAGATTATTATTTTAATTTCTTTAATCTTTAATTTAATTTTAATGTTTTCCATTTAAAAAAAATTTATAATTCGTGATTTATTTTTTTGCTAATTCGTTACTCATTAATTAGTTAAAGTTCACATCAGTTCATGAGTGAGTGATGACAATATGTTGACACGTACGAAATTAAAACATAATTCTATCGGTTGTATGTAAGGCTATGTATAACTATACGTAGGCCTACTTCACTTGAGAAAAGACCCTCCAAAGTTGCAGCGCTAAGGAAAAGGAATCAAAACACGCTCGGGACTATTATGATAGTTTTTAGATACCCACCACGGTCCACGCAGCTTTGTGCTGAATGGCGTCTAATTGAGAACAATTCCGAATCGTATAGGGGCACGTTACGTATAGGCCGCACGTACGTACCAGCCTGGCGAAGCAAATTCTAATAGGGAGAACCGGAGCATATAAATCAACTCAATAATCAGTTGATTTATATGCTCTGGGAGAACAAGAACTTATAAAAGCTAAGGACCGAGTTTTAGAATAGCCAAAACTAAGGTTGTGGTGTAACATTCACAAATAAAGAGACACTTTTTTACAAATATGATCATTTTGTGCATTCCAGCGAAGATCACCACTAATAATGCTACCCAAATATTTGCAAGTAAGGGTAAGAGACAGATATTTATGAAGCCAGTAAGCGACAAATCACATATGTGTATAATATTGATAGAAATTAGCATCATAGAGCTGGCAAAAGCTTCAAGCGGAGCATAGAGCATGAATCTGTAATTATTTAACATGAATAACGTGTATGTTGTGTATGCGACGAAACAGTGTGAGTATTTTTAATTAATTTCTGTTCGGTGCTTATTCAGGCCTGCTGCATATGGACGCCTTCTGAACCCAGCACCAAAAAGAGGCATACAACAGCAAGCCTCCGCAAATTGCACTATTTTGTCTCTAGAAAAGGCCTTTTTTGGAGAAAAAAAAATCGACGAAATTCGGCACTAGAGTGCAATTATTTGCATTATGCGTAAGTTAGATGCCTCGTGGACGTCTAGAAAGCATTAGAAGTAAAATTGGTCTTGTTGTGTATTTGTGACATTCCGTCAGGTGGCGTAGCCACAGCGACCGGTTGGTCATTTTTGTGTCTGAAAGACTGAAATGTTTTCAGACAAATTTGCAGAAATTCGCATCATAGAGCTGGCAAAAGTTTCGAGCGGAGCATAGAGCATAAATCTGTAGTTATTTAACATGAATAAAGTGTATGTTGTGTAAGCGAAGTAACAGTGTGAGTATTTTTAATTAATTTTTGTTTGATGCGCGAAGGGGGGGGGGCGTCTGGGGGGCCTTCCCCCAATTTAAAAAAAAAATTAGACCCCCTTAGATGCGTTTTTTGCGCGAGCAGGGGGGGGGTCCGGACCCCCTGGACCCCCCCCCTGTACACGCCCCTGTTAAGGAGAGCTGTTCTGCCAAAGAAATCGAATAATTGAGTTTTATGTTAATGAAAATCAGTTATGCAAGTCCTCTATCATGGTTTTTAGACACATGCATGTTCAAATAACATTTAAACATTTATTTTATGTAAACATGTACATATCCGTGTACATGTGTACATGTTATTTACATATCTACATTAAAATACACTCATTTTACACTAATTTGGTGCCAGAAAATTGATAATTATCTTCGTTTCACTCTTTCGTGGCACTCCTAATACTAACAGTATCAAAATATGTTAACTTTGTTGTTTGCAATTCACCCTAACCCTAGTTCTAACACTGCGCCTAACTGCATGGAGCGAACATTAATTTCCATTAATTTCTGTGTTTTGGGGGCATATCTCAGCTCCTGAAATCATGCCACATTTGAAATCCAGTAGCCATATAAGGAAACGGCTCTAAATTATGCATCTAAAATTTGAAGTCGATAGGTATCTCCTTTGCTCATTAATTAAGGAGGCATACAACAGTAAGCCTCCGCAAATTGTTTACCGTTGCACTATTTCGTCTCTAGAAAGGCTTTTTTTGGCATTTTTTTTTCGCCGAAATTCGGCACTAGGGTGCAATAATTTGCATTATGCACGCAAGTTAGATGCCTCGTGGACGTCTAGAAAGCATTAGAAGTAAAATTGGTCTTGTGGTGTATTCGTGACATTCCGTCAGGTGGCGTAGCCACAGCGACCGGTTGGTCATTTTTGTGTTTGAAATGTATTCAGACAACTTTGCAGAAATTCGCATCATAGAGCTGGCAAAAGTTTAGAGCGGAGCATAGAGCATGAATCTGTAGTTATTTAACATAAATAAAGTGTATGTTGTGTAAGCGAAGTAACAGTGTGAGTATTTTTAATTAATTTCTGTTCGATGCTTATTCAGGCCTACCGCCTATGTGGACGCCCTCTACTGTTGGCAAAAGCGCGGACGTTGCGAAACGTACTGTTCAGATGTTTTTCGGCGGTTCGTGACGCCACCGGTCTGTGTGTAGTGGCAAGACAGCCATTTTCGGTGTACATGTGAATCGCCATACGGTAATCACACATGAGAAAATTTCTAGTAAATAGCAGTGTAGTCGGCGATAGCTTAGTCTATTGGGCGTGATTGTTTAGGATTTTAAGAAACTGTTCATATTCCCCATATTTTCTTAGCGCACAAGACTGTCAAGAGTACATTATTTATATATTACGATTGCGGGATAAATTTGACAATTTCATACCGTCCCATGTTCAATGAACATTGCTAGCAGTACCACTACCCAGTACTATAACTATAAGTATAACTTATAAGTATGAGTATGATAATGAGGATAGAAACACAGGGTTCTCCCCAGGATGAAATTCAAACAGGGGGGAGTTTTCCCAAATGGGGCGCAACGATTCAAACAGGGGGGAGTTTTCCCAAACGGGGCGTCCGCGCCCCGTTTGCGCAACGTAGGGAGAACCCTGAAACATGCTTGGCAAAATAATCTGTTAATATTAGTACTATTTAGTATTTACTAATACTAGATCCTTTGACTGAATTTCCAGTCTGATGCAAGCAGTCCAGCTTTAGCAATAGCAGTTCTAAACCGGGCTTGGATGCAAATGGTTTACTCACTCGAGCAAAATTTACTTCAGTCGTATCTTTAAATGACTGCGAGTTTCTGAAGAATTCTAACACGCTCACTTGCAGGGTGCTGCGCGAACACAAAGTAACGACGTGATCAAAAGTACGATGGCGTCGAGATTCTTTGGAGCGGGCTCCGCGTCTTCGGAGGGAGATTCGTCCAGTGATGAGGAAGAGCAACAGCAGCAGCCGCAACAGCTGCGCGCTCCCGTCGCTGGCCGGTAAGTAGCAGCAGCAACAGCAGCGCGCTCCCGTCGTTGGTCGGTAAGTAGCAGCAGCAACAGCAGCGCGCTCCCGTCGTTGGTCGGTAAGTAGCAGCAGCAACAGCAGCGCGCTCCCGTCGTTGGTCGGTAAGCAGCAGCAGCATCAGCAGCAGCGCTCCCGTCGTTGGTCGGTAAGCAGCAGCAGCAACAGCAGCGCGCTCCCGTCGTTGGTCGGTAAGTAGCAGCAGCAACAGCAGCGCGCTCCCATCATTCGTCAGTAAGTGACTGGAATGTCACGTGCTGCCAACG